TAAACCCCTCACCCCTCATTGAAAAGAACACTGGTCTTGTGATTGAAACACCTGGGTTTTGAGGTACTTGTGTGTCTGTGGACAAATCACTTAACTTTCTGAGTGTTTGTTTTCTCATTTAGAAAATGAGGACTAATACTTTGACTGACTACTTTGATGGGACTGTTGTGAAGAAAGTACTTTATAAACCCTAAAGTATTAAATGTAGGAGAGAGAGCCATTATTACTTATGTTACCTGCCTTGAAGGATTATTGTGAGGAGTAAATTAGCTAAGGAATGGGAAGCACTTTGTATTCATAAAGTGTCATATACACTGGAGCTGGGTGATTATCCATGACCGAGGCTCCAAGGAGCTCGGGAGGTGGCTAACCTTGAAACTGTTGCTGCTTTTCTTAGCGTTCTCAGGATACCCTTCACAACTTGTGGCCAGACCAGCCTCTGGAGTGCCAGAAGCCCTCCGGGGCCAGGAAAGAAGGCCCCAGGAGCTTTGCTAACTGGGGACTTAGGACTGGTAAGAAGAACTACCAAGGCTACAATTCTCATTTGCTTTTGAAGGAGAGACAGAGATAGAGACAAACAGAGAGAGGAGAAAAACAGGGAAAGATAGACAGGGAGAGACAGAGACAGACAGAAAGATGGAGAAAGAGAAGAGAGAGAGACAGAGGAGAAAGAAAGGAGAGACAGAGAGAGGAAAAAACAGGGAAAGATATAGAGAGATAGAGACAGACAGAGAAGGAGAGAGAGAAAAAGAGGAGAGAGAAAGGAGAGACAGAGAGATAAGGAGAGACAGGAAGAGATAGAGAGACAGAAAGAGAGATACAGAAAGAAGAGAGACAGAAAGAAGAGATACAGTGAGAGGAGAGAAACAGACAGGGAGAGACAGAGAGAGAGACAAGGTGAGACAGAGAGAGAGAGAAACAGACAGACTCACATAGAGAGACCCTGGAAAAACCATGGATAGATAACCTTTAGCCCGCCCTGGTCCTACCTCTGACCTCTTTTCTGCCCCTTCATCCACCCCCACTCTGGAAACAGCAGAGCCCGCCCTGATGAAGGCTAGGGATCTCCTACCAATTGCCCCACCTCCCCGTATTCCCCACTGAAAGCTGGAGCTGGGGATGAGCCAAGCCCGCCCCCTGCCCACTCCAGCTGTCAATCTGGTTCTGTCAGGAACAAAGAAGAGCTTGATGACAGCTGCAGCACTTTCCCCCCATCACCCCTTTCTTTTTGCCCTCCCTTTCCTTCCTTCTTCTGGCACTTTTCTCTCAGAATAAACTTTGTGCTGCTTTTCTCTATAACTTTTTTTTATTTCAAAATATTCTATCATCTTTCCTCCATCCCTGCCAAGCCAATAACAAGAGAGACCACTAGAGTTAGCTTGGAGTTAGAAGCCCTGGGTTCAAATTCTGGACCTGCTACTTATTCCATGAGTGACTTTGGGCAGATCATTCGACTCCTCTGGATTTTATGGGCACATAGCTCTAAGGCTGCAGGCCACAGAGCTGGAGGGGCTTCCAGAGTCCATCCAGTCCTACTCCCTCTTGACAGGTGAGGAAACTGAGGCTAGGGATGTGAGCTGACTTGCCCTACATCACAGAAGCAGGATTGGAGTCTAGGTAAGCCGACTTTGTATTTCTCATTTGTGAATTGACAGGGTTGTATTAAATGATCCTTCTCAGGTTTGAATTCTATGACCATGATCATTTGAACTTGATTTCTCTCCAGTAGAGATTTCTCATGAAAGAGGCAGCTAGGTGGTACAGTAGATAAAGCCCTGGACCTGGAGTCAGGATGACCCAAGTTCAAATCTGACCTCAGATACTTTTGAGTTGTGTGATCATGGTCAAGTCACTTTTTGCCTCAGTTTCCTCAACTGTAAAATGAGGATAACAACAGCACCTACGTATTTCTCAGGGTTGCTGTGTGAATTAAATAAGATAAAATTTGTAAAGCACTTAGTAAAGTGCCTGGCACATGATAGCTCCCTAGCAAATACTTGTTTCCTTCATTCCTAATTCAAAACCCTTCAGTTTGAAAGTGTATAAGGGGGAGTAGTGCAGGGGGAGTGGGGGTGTAGAATGACGACAGGGGATTGAGAAGAATAAGACTTGACCTAGATGACCTTTGAATATTTCCTCTTAGCACAGTATCATGGGATCCTAGAATTGGGGCAGGAAGGGACCTTAGATGGCATCTAGTCCAATGCCCTCAGTTTTACAGTTGAGGAAACAGAGACCCGGAGAAATGAATGACTTGTCAGAGTCACATGATAACGGGGGTAGGTTTTGGACCCCTGTTTTCTGACTCCAGATTCAGGGATCTGTTCATGCTCCCCCTCATCTTCCAATACCAGCTGAACCAACACTCAGGCTTGGGCAGCTCATGTTTCAACTATGGACATGGTACCCTTTCCCATGAACAGGCCATTGGGTTTCAGCAGTGTGTCTCGACCTCAATTCCAGCTTCCTATATCTACTTCTTTCTTGCCCGACCTCCCGACCTCCTGGGAATGTTGGTGAGAGCTGGAGCCACCCATAGGGTAGAGCTCAAACTTCTGGTTCAGGTAGATATCCGAGTCCATAATTAAGTGTTCGGGGCAAGTAGAGTGCTCTAAACTTTGGTGCTAAAAATATTGCATTTAGCATGCAAATTACGCCTGGTGCCATGTTCCCTGACAGCTCCCCTGTATTTTCCTTGAAGTGGGAGCCCGTGGGCGCCTCCACCTTGTTTGTCATCAGCCCTGTTATTCTCAGGGTGATGATAATATTCCTCTTCATGAGGTCGATTTATTGTTCATTTTTAAAGCCAACTTTCTGACTGCAGCAGCAACAGCAAGCCTTGCTCCAGAAAAGGCCTGAGGTCATGTCAGCTTGGTCCCTGGTCAAGTGAATAAGTTGGGTTGGACCGGAGAGAGGAATGACCAAAGGATGAATAACAGTTAAAACTGAGTTGACTGCCTGGCACAGGTCACCTAATCCACCTTCCAGCTTCTGTCTTGGCCCCAGAAAGGGATTTCTGCTGCTTCAGAGGAGACATGGATCAAGAGAGGGAGAAATAGAGAAAAGTGACAGAGAATGAGAGAGAGCAACCTGTTCCAGGGTCACTGCCTATGTGGGGAATTGCCGCTGCTGGGGCTGGCGGACAGCAAGTAGAATCAGTAGAGACCCATGATGAGTGTGAATAAAGACTGGACCTGAAGTCTTTTTAGGGAGGAGCATGGACCCCTGGTTGAAGTCTCTAAAGGTGAAAGACAGAATGATGAAGGCTTTTCCATTTCTGCTATAGGTAAAACTAAACACACTCCACCAGGGCCACAGAATCTGAGTCAGAAAGGACTTAAGAGGCCTTCAAGTCTAAGTCATAACTGAATAAGAATCCATTCTACCATACACCGGTCATTCAGTCTTTGTTTAAAGACCACCCATGAGAGAGAACCCAAAATTCTTCTTTCAAATGGCCCTTCATTGCTTCTAGTTCTGCCCTTTGGTGCCAAACAGGACTAATTGAACTACTCTTCAAATTACATGATAGCTCTTTAAATACTTGGAGACAACTATCACACACATCTCTCCTCCAGGCGAAACAGTACCAGCTCCTTCCACTGATCTCCATGTGGAATGGTCTTGAAACCCTTCACCATCCTGGGTGCCCTCCTCTGGCTGCCACTCTCCAGCATATCAGTCCTTCCTAAAATGGGGTGCCCAGAATTGAACACAGTACTGCAGATACAGTATGTCAGGGCAGAGTACAGGCAAAGTATCAGCTCTCTGGCCCTGGACTTAGTGTGGTCTAAACATGGATCACCTTTCTTCTCTGATAGGCCACTTCTGACTCATACAGACTTTGAGGCTCTCTGCACCCTCCCTCTCTCAGGTCATGTTCCGGGTCCTTTTAAACTAGGAAATTCTGGGGTTCTATGATTCTTCACTTGAGCTCTTTGAAGGAAGGTAGTTTCACTTTATCTTTGTATCTCCATTACTTGGCACATAATAGGCCCACAGTAAATATTTATTGATGAGTAATTGATTGATCTAGCCATATTTCTTCTCTATTATACTCACAAAGTTGATTTTAAAAATCTAAGTGCTGTTCAGTCACGCCCAACTCTTTGTGGTCCAAGTTGTTTTTTGGGTTTTTTTTTTTAGGCAGTTGGGGTTAAGTGACTTGTCCAGGGTCACACAGCTAGTAAGTGTCAAGTGTTTTGGTCTGAGGCTGGATTTGAACTCAGGTACTCCTGACTTCAGGGCTGGTGCTCCAAATTGGGGTTTTCTTGGCAAAGATACTGGAGTGGCTTGCTACTTCCTTCTCCAGCAGGTTTTACAAATGAGGAAACTGAGGCAAACAGGGTTAAGAGACTTACCCAGGGTCACATAGCCAGTCAGTGTCTGAGACCAGATGTGAAATCACGAAGATGAGTCTTCCTGACTTCAGGTTGGGCACTCCACCCACCCACCGTGTCACCCAGCAGCTCAAAATCTAAGTGTAAGGCTTAACCTTAATCCCTATTAAATTTTATGATATTTAGTTTGATCCAGTGTTCTAGCCTACTGTGATCTCTTTGGATGCTGGCTCCATCATGTAACATGTTAGATTGCCTCTCCCTGTTGCTCTGGGTGTGATGCAAAGAGTGTAATATTGGGGGGGGGGTTACATTAAAAAAATTCTTCTCTCTCCCTCTTCCCCAAAACATGACTCAGCTGCCTCATTTAGGGGATGATCCAGGCAATGTCCCAGTGTCCTTGACCCTGAAAATTCACCACTCCCTATCCCCTTTTCTTTACACAACCTGGTATGATCTCTCCTCCACACATAGACAATCCTCTTCAGACACCACCAACTCCAGGTATCAAGAATAGGTACGCTAGGCTCTCTCCCTTGAACAGAAAAGATGTGACTGTCCCAAGGGGATTGGGCTATTCCTGCGATGGAAAGAATGGATGGAGGCCTGGTTACTTCTCACTGGGCTTATTCAAACACTCAGCCCAGTCCACCTGTTTCCATTAGATTTTATTGGATTGTCATATGTACAGTGATGGTACAGAAAGACTGGGGCCTGGGGACAGCCAAGTAACCTCCACAGCAGCTGCAGTTTCCCCTGGCCCCCACAGGGCCATGTGAGGCTAGGCCAGGCCAGGGTCAACAGCCTGTTTAGCTGGTGGCAGGTCTAAGGCAGAGGCAGGGCATGGGGAAGGGAAGGGACAAGCAGGGGAAGGAAAGAGAGAGAAAGGAAGAAGAGAAGAGAAAAGGAGGTGTGGCACATGGCTACCAACATTATCACCTCCAGTAACACTATGATGCCCTGGCCACAGGTTGCTTACCCCCTAGCCTAGATGCCCTCACTCCAGCCACAGGCCAATATTCAGGTTCCAAGGTTTTGAGGCAGAATCTGTAATCACTTATTGGGTTGCTAGACCATGGAGTCTCTCAGAAAGTAACCAAAGTTCCATAGCCCATCTCTCTTTCCCCCTTTGACTTAAGGGGCTCATGGGCTGCCCAGCTCAATACACAAAGCCAGCATTAGTTATAGTTAGTCCTTCAGATAGCAGCCACTAGATAGGAAGCTGGAGGGAACATAGGGAGGAGCCCCTAGACCACTACTCACTGCCATGCAAAGCAGCATCTTGGAGAAGGATTTACTTTTTTTTTCTTTTTTCTTTTTTTGGGCTTGGGCTTTTCTGGGAATCATCCTGTGGTCTAGTATTTACATAGGTCTCATGGTGCTGTAGGTGGGTGCCAGACTGAACCTTAGCTGTTGCTCCCACTGAACCTGACCTTGACCAATCCCCTCCCACTGACTTGTCAAACCCCACCCAGGGCCAGGCAGGTGGAGAGTGAGCAGGGTCGAGAGACCTCAGTTAGATCTCCCAGCTGTTGCATCCATGCTCAGAGCCAGAGAGGAGATGGGGGCAGAAAATAGTGACAGCAGCTGGTGGCTTTGTCTTTGGTGCAAAGGGGAGGCATCCAGGAAGCAGAGGGGGATGTCCCTGTGAGCAGATGCTGCTTTCCATATTAGCTGTCCCCCAGAGTCCCCAAGGGGTCCAGCCCTGGCAACAGGGCCAATAAGCATCTTGTTGCTTCAGAGGCTTAGACATTGCAGTTGTGGGCAATGCACCTCTGTAACAAACTGCCTTGGATGTGCCTGGAGGGCCCCCACCCTGCCGACCAGAGAGGTGGGAGGGGAGCTGTTCAGGACCCATCAGACTCAGAAAGGAGGGCCAGATCTCCCTCCCCTCATCACCATAGGCTCTTTGCTTGGCGACACAGGTAGGCGAGGGGTCGGGTGGGCAGGCGGGTGGGCAGGCAGCTGGTAGAGTCAGCAATGGAGAATCTTCAGGAAGGCTTTGCGGAACTCGATGTTGAAGGTAGTATAAATGATGGGGTTGACGGCACTGTTGACATAGCCCAGCCACGTGAATGCGCTGTACATGGCGGGTGGAATGTTGCAGTCACAGTGCATATTCAAGATGTGGGTGATGAAGAATGGCAGCCAGCAGATGATAAACACTCCTAGAAGAGAGGGGAGCCAGTGAGGTGGGCATGGATAGGGCTGCCTAGCATCCGGCAGCACACTCAATCCTGCCTCAGTCACCAAGAGCCCAACTTCTGGAGTGAGTCAGATAGATTTTAGATGTGGACACTGTCCCTGTTCCTGAATGCAGGACAAGGAAGACATCATACTAAAAATTCAGATTTTTCCAGCACCTTACAGTCACAAAGGCTTCCCTCACAGTTTGAAGGAAGGCAGTACAAATATCATTACACTCATTTTATAGGCGAGGAAACAGGCTCTGTTAAATGACTTCCTCAGGCTCACACAGCAAACAAATGTGGGAACCTGAAATGGCACCTGGGGCATTTAGCTCCACAATCCAATTTTCTTTCCACTATGCAGGGGTTCTTAGCCTTTTTTTGTGTCATAGATCCCTTGGGCAGTCTGATGAAACCTACCATCCTTTTATCAGAATGTTTTCAAATGCACAAAATAAAATACATAGGAGTACAAGGTAAACCAATTGTATTGAACCAATTTTTTCAAAGTACTAAAAAAGAAAAACCCTAAATTTACACACCCCTTGAAATATCCATGGAACCTTTGTGGGTTTTTGGACCCCATGTTAAGGATTCTGCGTCTGTGGAGTACTGGTGGTAGAGGAGATTTAGATTATGGTCCAGGCTCTACTGCTAACTAACTGTATGTCTTTGGGCAAGTTGCCAAACTTTGTAGGCTTTAGTTTTCTCATCTAGAAGAGAAGCAACTTGAAGGAAGAACACAGATTGAGAGCCTGAAAGATCTTTAGAAGCCATCTAATCCACCCCCCATCATTTTAGTTTTCCAAATTTATTTTTGAATTTAAACAAGTTTTATTGGTGCTTCCCCCCTCCCCACATCTATCACTGCCAACAACTCTATCTCCTGCAATTGTGACAAAGGTAAACTCAAGCAATACAAATCAACACATTGGCTGCATCTGAGCTCTCTCATTTTACAGAGAAGGAAAGTGAGATCCAGGGAAGTTCAGTGATTTGCCCATGGTCACACAAGTGGTAAAATCTCAGAAGATCTGAACCAACCTAGCACTCATTGGTGAAAGGAGGGGTGACCTTGGAGACAGAAAGAAGTAAGAGGAGAAAGCCCTGAATCTGACACATGAATAGCCTTAATGCCCTGAACAACTCTTTTAAGATTAGAAGTTAAAAACAAGCTATAGATCTGCTTTGATGGAGAAATATTCCACACTGGGAGTTCCCTATGCTTAGGGATTCACATGCCCCAGATCCCACCTCCATCTTTCCCCTTTTAACCCCTCAATTTATGGGAACAATTGGTGAAGACCAAAATAAATTCTATCTGTGGTTATGTAAAATCACTCTGAAAAGAGCTCTAGAAATTCAAGATGTCATTATCTCTTAATGACAAAGAGAAGGTTAGCTCCTTGAGGACAAGGACTCTTAGGATTTTTTTTTCAAGCAATCAATAAGCAGCAAACTTATTTCTGCCTTCTGTCTTTGCTTATACTGTTGATCTCCATGTCTGGGAGCCATGCAGTCCCACCCATCCCCCCACCTCCCACACCACTGCCCTCAGGTGATCAAAATTCTAGTTCTTCAAGGCTTAGGCGAGTACCACTTTCTCCACAAAAACTTCCTTGGTCTGTTCACGTTCCTAGCTCACTTCAGTTGCTCCTTTCCCTGGTCAATTGATTTTGGACTAAATGACATTATTTAAGCAAGCACTTTACTATAGAGTACTATTGACTCTCTTCTCTCTAATTATACTTTTGCTCACTAGTACTTGAGGCCCACTGTCTATGACTGGGGATTGATCAAGGGAACAGTGAGCAGGTAGGGGCAAAAGTATTTCTGAAGCTAAGCCAATGGCTTCCATCCCAGGAAGGTAAACAGTGCGGGATCATGGTAGTAGGAGGGCTCACTCACCAAGGACAATGGCCAGCATCTGGGTAGCTTTTTTCTCCTTCTGCTGGGAAAGTTTCCTCCGGCTCATGGTCTTGAGGGAAGTCCGGGTTTTGCCATTGGGCATAGACTGGATCTCAAAGACTTTGGCAGACCTGGGGTGACCTTTGGCATGCCCATTCTTCTCTGGCTTCATGGGGCTGTCAGGGGAAGAATGGACTCCTTGGGTGGAAGGGGTAGGGAGGGTGAGCTGATGGTGGCTTGGGGGGATGGGACTGTATTTGGTTTTCTCCGGTGGGCTGGTACTGGACATCATCTCCATCTCCATCTGTTCTGCACGACGTGCAGCCTCCTGCACGAGAATCAAAAGCCACCAAAATAAAGCCAGGTAAGTACCCTGGTATGTGGATACCCCTAGCCCCACTGACTTTTACTCTAGTATTTCTGAAACCTGGACTCCCTAGAGGATGTGACCCATGACTTTGCCCTGCTTGGCCAAACTTGTTCCTGGTAGATATTTCCCCTTCTGCCCCAAAGAGAGAGAGGACAAAATCTATCACAATGAAAGTTTTTCACTTCACCGAGAAAATGGAATGATCTAACCCAATTCTTGGTTCTTTCCCAAAGTTCAGAAAAGATCATTCCTTTCATTCTTCTAGGAATTTTTCCTGGACTGAGGAGATTCTAGGCCTAGTAATAGCTACTGCCAGCCCCAAACACACATGTCTTTCACCCTACCCACCCACCAAATCCCACTTGTATTTAGGTTTGTATGCCATCAAGGGCATATCTGAAAGAAAAAGTGCTGGGTCAATTCCATAGCAAGGATCACAGATGGATGGCTCAAGTGTTGACAGGTATCCAGGAAATATCCAAGAACCTAAAATGAGGCCTGTAGCACATTAAGTAGAACCTTTCTGGAGAACAAGAATCATTCAGGGTGAGGAAGAGCAGATGGACTGTGATCTGCCCTGGTGGAGGGAATATCCCCCAATATCCATGTGGATGTGACCAGGAATCCAGTGAAAAAGTGTTAGATAACTGCCTGTGTTCATATATTCATCTGGGTACATATATGCATACACACATACATGTATACATACATACATATATTTATGTGTCTGTGTCTCTGTGTGTATGTGTTAGTGTGTGTATGTATGTATATATGTATATGATTGCATATTTGTATTTATGGGAGGAGACTGAGGAAGTGCAATGTATAAAGGCACAATTGATATTTTTCACACTAAACACCTGTCACAACCTCTATCGCCAGCTAGAGACTGTGACTTTGACCTCCTGAGCTCCTATCTTTCCATCTTCCCTCTTCCTCATTGCCATTAAATCTGGTCCTCATACTCACTTGTCTTCCATTCCCTCTACCTCACCCTTTCCTTTCATCCTTTCACTCCTGCTCCGGCCTCACATTCTTCCCTTCATAGTCACAAGACCATAGGATCATAGACTTAGAGAAGGAAGGGGTCAGAAACTGGTACCCATGGAAGTGCCATGACTTCTCTAAGGTCACATACCTTGTAGCAAGCAGTAGATATGGGATTTCAAACCAGCATCAACCCTTTGGTAAAGACGTTCAACTCTATGCTGTCATCTCCGCTTGAATTCTTTGTCTTAGTGTCCTATCCACCAATCACCGCTTGCCAAATCCTAAACCTGGATTACTTCCACCTTCTGTCCTCTCCTTTACTCTCTCATGCTGCCCAACATTGCTGAAGAAAGTCATGCAACTATGCTGAATGGGTGCACTACAATTTTAAAATCTAATCACCCAATGGACCAATAGATCAGCTAGAAGAGATCTTAGATATCGAGTCCAATCACCTTATTTTATAGATGAGGAGGAAACTGAGGCCCAGCAACGCATTAATAACCATAACTGTCAGAACTGTGGTTCAAATTCAAGTCCTTTGACTTTAGATCATCCGAATCATTCTACTATACTGTACTACTCAAGTGGGTCTATATCGCTCCCTAAGCAATTCAATTTTTCCCAGATTGATTCTTCTGAAGCCCCCTACAATACAACACTTATTTCTCATTTCTAAAGGCTCATGTTAGGATGAGGAAAGCATAGGACCTTGACCTTGACCCTGAGTTCCCCATAAATAGGAGGCAGAGAGCCTCACCTCCTACTTTGCTGAGAAAATAGAAGCTATCCATTGTGAACCCCTTTCCCCCTCTATACATCAAAATCCTTCTATATCATTCCTCCTTTTTCTCCTCTTTTACTCTCATCTCTAATGAACAATTGCTCCTTTTTTGCCAGGGCTAACCCCTCTATTTGTGCTCTTGGTTCTACCCTCTCCCATCTCTTGCAGGAATTTTTCCCCTTGATCATTTTCTCTCATTCATTTTCAATCTCTCTTTATATAATCGCTCTTTCCCATCACTTTCAAACACACTCAGGTCCCCTTTACCAAAAAAGACAAACCCAAAAATCTTTATTAACCCTGCCACTCCTTAGATCTCCTTTCTCTTTCAAGGCCAAAAACCACCCCCCAAAACTGTCTATACTCCTTGCCTTCACTTCATCACCTTACATTCACCTCTCATTCCATTTCAGTCTAGCATCTGACTCCACCACTCAAGTAAAACTAACTCTTTCCCCTCCCTGTCCCACATCCCCCATTCGAATCAGTTGTTAGGGCATGCCAGTTTTACCTCCATAACATCCCTTATGTTAGTCCTCTTCTTTCTATTCACACAGCCTCTAACTTAGTTCAGGCCCTCATCACTTCTCAACCTTTTTATTTCAATAGACCCCTAATGAATCTCTGCTTCCCAGTCTCCCCTTTGAACCATTCTGCACAGAGTTGACAAATTAATATTCCTAAGATAAACATTTGACTAAATTGCTCCTGTACTCAAAGATCTTAAATGTCCCGTTTGTCCCTAGGATAAAATATAAAGCATTTCCCAATCTAGCTCACACCTCCCTTTTCAGACTTATCTCCCCCTAAACTTTTTTTTTTTAGGCAATTGGGGTTAAGTGATTTGCCCAGGGTCACACAGCTAGTACGGGTCAAGTGTTTGGTCTGAGGCTGGATTTGAACTCAGGTCCTCTTGACTTCAGGACTGGTGCTCTATCTACTGCGCCACCTAGCTGCCCCTCCCCCTAAACTTTTACTTACAACAAAACTAATGTACTAGATATGCCCTGGTTTCAATATTCTGTCTCCTTCCTCAGTGCCTTTGCCCGTGCCTGGAGTTCACTCCCTCTTTACCTTTGCCCCTTAGAATCCCTGGATTCCTTCTTTCAACCAATAAAATAATCAGTTAGTAAGTGCTCACTTTGTTCAAGGGATCGTGCTAGGAACCTTAGGACAGGAAATAAATGCAAAAGTGAGATAACCCCTGTCCTCATGGAGCTTGCATTCCATTAGGAGGACACAACATCTTCACAGATGAGTAAATATTGGATATATGCTAAATATAAGCAAAGTGGTTTCAGCAGGGGATGGGAAGAGGGATTCCTGGGACAAACAGGAAGGAGACAGCATTTGATCTGAGCCTTGAAAGGATTGAAGGGTCCCAAGGATACAGGGAATTCAAAGTATGGGGGACAGCCAATGAAAGGGTACAGGGACAAAACATGCAGCAAACAGGCCAGTTTGGCTGAAGTAGAGTATGTGATGAGCAGTAATCAGCCTGGAAAGATAAGCTGGAACCAGATTATAAAAGGCTATAAATGCCAAACAGAGGAGTTTCTAATTTATTCTAATGACAGTAAGATAAATGAAACTTCCTGAACAGGAGAGTGACATGCTCATACCTGAGATGTAGGAAAACAATTTTGGCATCTGTGTAGAGGATGGATGGGAGAAGGGAGAGACTAAAAGCACGGGGACCAATTAAGAGAATATTATATTAGTCTAGGCAAGATGTGATGGGGGCCTGAACTAGGATGACTGGTGTGAGATGGGGATTAATGTAAGACATGTTGAAGAAGATACAAAGCTGGGAAGGATAGCTAACACACTGAATGACAGAATCAGGATCCAAAAATATTCTGACAAGCAAGAGCATTAGGTTGAATCTAATAAGATAAAATTTGATAGGGATAATCATCAAGTCTTGCACTGGGGTTCAAAAAATCACCCTCCCAGGTACTGGATAGGATAGGCATGGTTGAATGGCTTTTTCATCTGAAAAAAGCTGGGGCTTTTTATTTATATTAAATAAGAATCAGCAATGTTGGGGGTTTAAATGAAAACTCATGTGGTTTGGGGCTACATTAAGAAAGGTAGAACTCCCAGAAATATGGGGGTGATCACCCCTGGATTCTGCCTTATTCACACTTCAGCTGGAATTTTTATTTA